GTAGTTCGTGCGCAGCTGCGCCAGCACGAAGCGCAATAATGACACCGGCATAAACCCCGAATAGCAACCGCTGCCTGAGACACAAATCAATACCACGCGAGCCAACGTGATCTTCCAGTGACCATGAGTGGGCCCCGGTCCAACAACACCTCTCCGCGTGACTCCACAAATGTCTTAAGTTTTTCTTCGGGCTCCGCGCCTGCAGTCTCCGATCACAGGCAAACAAGTGGGGAGACAAGTCAAGCAAGGCAAGGCAGCGGCGGCAGACTAAACGCCGATGACGCAGTGAAGAGACAAGGCAGGAGTGGCAGCGGTGGACCAAAGCGCAGATCAGCCACCCAGTCATTGAGAAGTAAGAACCGCTATAGCTTTCAGCTATCTGGTGAAAAATTGTGATTGCTCCCTGCTGGAAAAAGGTGTTGATTCTGCAGATTCAATACGCCGCTTTTTCAGCAGGCCTGGCACAGCTGAAGTGTGAGGCACACTCTCCGCTTACACCTTTCAGGAAGTACCCCAGCTCAAAGTATTTATATTCAAGTAAGAACCCCAGGGGGGTAACATACATACCTTGTTTTCGGAGGTTAGTAGGTATCTAGCAGGCATCCCCTGCCTCCCCCCCCAACTAGGTATGTATGTATGTATGTATGGTCCAAAGGTACATACCTCAAAACCAGGGGTATGTATGTGTCTGGGGAACATACTTACCTAGAAAATGAGAGGTATGTATGGTATGTATGTATGTTTGGGGAAACATACATACCGAGACAAGAAGAGGTATGTATGTATGTATGTATGTATGTATGTATGTATGCATGGTCCAAAGGTACATACCTTCAAAGCATACCCAGTATGTATGTATGTCCGGGGAAACATACATACCTAGAAAGTGACAGGAATGTCTGGTATGTATGTATGTCTGGGGAAACATACATACCTAGACAAGAAGAGGTATGTATGTATGTATGTATGTATGTATGCATGGTCCAAACGTACATACATCAAAAGCACGGGTATGTATGTTTCTGGGAGACATAGAAGAGTCATACATACCCAGTATGTATGTATGTCCGGGGAAACATACATACCTAGAAAATTAGAGGTATGTATGGTATGTATGTATGTTTGGGGGAGCATACATACCTAGAAAAGAAGAGGTATGTATGTATGTATGCATGGTCCAAACGCACATACCTCAAAAGCACGGGTATGTTCGTTTCTCGGATACATAGAAGAGTCGTACATACCCAGTATGTATGTATGTCCGGCGGGGAAACATACATACCTAGAAAATAAGAGGTATGTATGGTATGTATGGATGTCTGGGGAAAGATATATACCTAGAAAAGAAGAGGCATGTATGTATGTATGTATGTATTGTCCGAACGTACAGACCTCAAAAGCACGGGTATGAGTGTTCCTCGGAGACATAGCATCAGGTAAAAAGCGAGGTCTGTGTGTTTCGCAGGGCTCCCAGTTTGAGGTATGTATGTTTCCCAGGAAGATACATACGCGTGAGTGTCTCGGTATGCATGTTTCCCACAAACATACATACTCATTATTATCCAGGTATGTCTGTGTCCCACAAACATATATACCTAGGACTTGGAGGTATGTACGTGGTCTGAGAAACATACATACCCGTGAGATTGAAATATGTATGGTTCGCAGAAACATACCTACCCACAATATTCCGGTATGTATGTTTCCCATGTAGATACAGACCGTTAGTTGTTTAATGTATATCCGTTCCCAGAAACACACACCGAGGAGGTATGGGTATGTCGGCCAAACAGAGATTACCTTCAAGTATGTATTTTCCCTGCAACAATCATGCCCTTGACCTTGAAGGCAGTATAAGGAGGAAGAGAGATATGTGGCATTCTCGGGATGTGCGTATACATGAACGTGGACTGTCTCACACAATGAAGCATGCTCCTCTCCGTGACCTCCCCCCCCCAAGGCAGGTATGTATGTACGTATGTATGTATGCGTGCGTGCGTGTATGTCTGCGAGGGCCCGTGACCATGGAGGGGGCATTGAAGTATGTCTGTATGAATGGATGTAAGTCTCATGGTGTTTGGCGCATGGGTATTAGACATGTGTATGACGTCATGTATGTATGTGTGGGGAAACATACATCGCTAGAAAATGACAGGTATGTATGTCTGTTATTGGTATGTATGTATGAGACATACGTTGCACAGTCGTCGACGTGCGAAGGGGCGCGCTCCGCACCCCCTCCCGCGATTTATGAGTGACACCCCTCACCGCTGCTGCATGTTCGTGACGAAACAGATACACCGAGAAAATTACACGTGTGCATGACGCATGGCTATTAGACATGTGTATGACGTCATGTATGTATGTGTGGGGACACATACATCGCTAGAAAAAATGACAGGTATGTATGTCTGCGTGTGTATGACGCATGGGTATTAAACGTGTGTATGACGTCATGTTTGTATGTGTGGGGAAACATAGATCGCTAGAAAATGACAGGTATGTATGTCTGTTATTGGTATGTATGTATGTCTGGGGAAACATACATACCTAGAAAATTAGAGGTATGTATGTATGTTAAAGATATATATGTATGTCTGGGGAAACAGACATACCTAGAAAAAAAAGGTATGTATGTATGTCTGGGGGAACATACGAACCTAGAAACTAGAGGTATGTATGTATGTATGTTAAGGGTATGTATGCATGTCTGGGGTAACATACATACCTTGTTTTCGGAGGTTACTAGGTATCTAGCAGGCATCCCCTGCCTCCCCCCCCATCTAGGTATGTATGTATGTATGTATCTTCCAAAATTATAGGTATGTATGTCTGGGGAAACATACATACCTAGAAACTACAGGTATGTATGTATGTTAAAGGTATGTATGTATGTCTGGGAAAACATACATACCTAGAAAATTATAGGTATGTATGTATGTCTGGGGAAACATACATACCTAGAAACTATAGGTATGTATGTATGTTAAAGGTATGTATGTGCGTCTGGGGAAACATATAGTTTCTAGATATGTATGTCTGGGGAAACATACATACCTAGAAATTTTTAGGTATGTATGTATGTCTGGGGAAACATAAATACCTAGAAACTATTGGTATGTATGTATGATAAAGGTATGTATGTGTGTCTGGGGAAACATACATACCTAGAAAATTGTAGGTATGTATGTATGTCTGGGGAAACATACTTGAGGCCGAGGGTAGGTGACGAAAGCTAGCAGGGGTGCATCCGGACTGGTGGGACATCAAGCGGAGTGAGGCAAATGCTCATGAGGTAAAACGTTGTGAACATGTAAGACACACAAACAGCAATGACACAGCCAACCTTCGAATTGAAGTCCCCGACAATTAAGGAAGCGTGGCTGGACTTTGCCACACTGTTCGATGCATCCGATGTGTTCACGAACCTGTGAGCTTGTTGAATCTGTTGCACCGTATCCCAAAACCTCCACGGAGGAGTTGAACCAGTGATGCCATAAAAGGTGCCCAAGAGGTGTCCCAGAGGCAAAACAAAGCTGCTTGCATGATTTGTTTGGTTTCTTCTATCGATGTCGATGTCATGAACATGTGAGCTTGTTGAATCTGTTGCACCGCATCCCAGAGGAGTTAAGCCAAAGTGGATGCCATAAGAGATGCCCGAGAGGTGTCCCAGAGGCGTCCGAGGGGGGAGTTGAACCCACGGGGGGG